TGCTGAGGAAGACTGGCCCTGGGCTAACATCCGTGCCCATTTTCCTCCACTTTATATGGGACGCCGCCACAGCATGGCTTGCCAAGCAGTGCGTTGCTGCACGCCTGGGATCTGAACTGGCGAACCCCGGGCCGCCGCAGCAGAGCGCGTGCACTTAACTGCTTGTGCCACCGGGCCGGCCCCTCAGCAAATAAGTTTTGAATGCCTCGTTTGTGCTACATCTGTACTAAGTACGGGGAATGTATATGAAAAAATGAGATTTTTTTTCTCAGAAGCATCTAGTAGGGAAATACACAGGGAAGTAAACAGTTGCTGTAAAATGTGGTTCTATAATCTTTGTTAGTGGTGTTGTATACATACATGATGCTGCGGATTTCCAGAGGAAGGAGTACCTCTACCTGTCTGGAATAGTCAGGGAAGGCCTTTGAAGAAGAGGTTATACTTGAGCTGCCTCTTAATGGATTTGGGAGTGTATTTATCTGTTAAGAGACGGGGAAAACTGTAGGCAGATAGAACAGCTCTCTCAAAGGTACAAAAGCAAGAAATGGCCTGATGTATTTGGAGAATTGTCGGTAGTTCAGTATTGCTGGAGTTGAGTGTGCAAGGTAAGGAATATCAGGAAATGAGGCTGGAGATGTAGGCTGGGACCACATCATAAAAGAGCCTTTCCTTGCTTTTAAATTTCTTTAGAGCCACCTTTGTAAGAGGGTATTACTATCAAGAGAGTGTGTACACACACACACCCAGAGCAAGAGGCAGTAGGATGGAGTGTAATCTCCTGTCTTGGATTCCTTAGGAGCCCTGGGGAAGTTGCTGAATAAGTGATCTCATGAGCAAATTGGCTGTAGTAAGAGTTGCTCCCTTTTAGATGACCTCAGAAATCCTCAGTAACCATCAGGCAGTTTCCGAAAGTGCAGAATATGTCATGAATGTTTTTAGTGCATAGTGTCAAAATAATAATAATATTGGCAGCGGTATTGATGCCATCAAATTCCTAATAAAATGAACCTCCTCATATATAGGGTAACTTTCAGGTTAGGATTGTTGACCAATTTTTTTAAACTGAGGTAAAATTTACATACAGTGAAATGCATAGATCTTCAGTTTAGATTCTATATATACCCATGTACCACTCACCCCAGTCAAGATATAGAGCATTTCCATCACCTCAGATAGTTTCTTTTCTTTTTTTTTTTAATTTTTAATTTTTATTTATTTATTTCCCCAAAGCCCCAGTAGATAGTTGTATGTCATAGTTGCACAGCCTTCTAGTTGCTGTATGTGGGACGCAGCCTTAGCATGGCCGGAGAAGCGGTGCATCGGTGCGCACCCGGGATCCGAACCAGGGCCGCCAGTAGTGGAGTGTGCGCACTTAACCACTAAGCCACGGGGCCGGCCCTCCTCAGATAGTTTCTTTGTTCCCCCTGCTCTCTGCCAGTCGATCCTGCCCCACACAGCCTGTCACCATGGATTGCTTTTACCTGTTCTTAAACTTTGTATAAATGGAATCATGCAGTGTGTACTTTTTTGTTTCTGGCATTTCACTTAACATGTTTTTGAGATTCATTCATATTGTTGTGTGTATCAGTGGTGTGTTCCTTTATATTGCTGAGTAGAATTCTTTGTAAGAAACAGTTTTTCAAAACGATAGTACTGTTTTACGCTTTTACCAGCAATGTGTGCAAGTTCCAGTTGCTCCACATCCTTGCTAGCATTAGGTGTTCTCATTTTAATTTTAGCTCTTCTAACAGGTGTGAAATGGTATCTCCTGATTTTAATTTGTATTTCCATGATGGTAAGATATTGAGCACCTTTTCCTGTGTTTATTGGCCACTCTTTTATCTTCTTTTGTGAAGTGTTTCAGTCTTTTGCCCATTTTTAATTGGATCGTCTTTTTGTTACTGATTTGTAAGAGTTCTTTATATACTCCAGATACAGTCCTTTGTCAGATTGATGTTTTGCAAGTGTTTTCTCCCAGTCTATGGACTGTTTTTATGTTTCCATAATGGCATCTTTAGATGAAAAGACTTTTTTATTTTGGTAAAGTCCACTTTATCCATTTTTAATTTTATGGCTAGTGCTTTTTGTGTCTTCTCTAAATCTTTACCTACCCCAAGGTTGCAAGAGATTCTCCTTGTTTTATGATTTTAGCTTTTATGTTTACTATGATCTTCCTGAATTAATTTTTTGTGTATGCTGTGAGGTGTAGGGAATGTGATTTATTTTTTTCCGACTATGTTTATCCAGTGTTCCATTTGTTTAAAAAACTTTCCTTTCTCTGTTAGTTTGCCTGGGTTCCTTTGTCCAAAATCAATTGGCCATATATGTGTAGGTCGCTTTCTATACTGTTAATTTGATTCTGTTGGTCTATTTTTTGATCCTTATGCCAGTACCCTATTGTGTCAGCTTCTTAATTTCTACAAAAAAACACCCCAGCCTGTTGGGATTGTGCAACTATTGCTGCATATATAGAAATATAACTGAATTTTTGTATATTGACCTAGTATGCTGTGACTTTATTAGTTCTAGTAGTTGTTTTGTAGATTTCCTAATGATTTTCTACATGAAAATCATGTCATCAAGGAGTAAAGATAATTTGACCATTTTTAATATGTACATATATAAGAAATATATAAGCTATATTTGAAGACAAAGAGACCAAGAAAAAACACAAACCCAGGGGGCTGGTCCGGTGGCGCAAGTGGTTAAGCGCGCGCGCTCCGCTGCGGCGGCCCGGGGTTCGCCACTTCGGATCCCCACACGCACCGACGCACAGCTTGGCAAGCCATCCTGTGGTGGCATCCCATATAAAGTGGAGGAAGATGGGCACGGATGTTAGCCCAGGGCCAGTCTTCCTCAGCAAAAAAACAGGAGGATTGGCAGATGTTAGCACAGGGCTGATCTCCTCACACACACAAAAAACACAAACCCATCATTAAAGCAAAAAAGAAAAGTAGCTGTTAAGTTTTTCAATGTTCCTTGTTTCAAAGTGGCTGCTGCTTTAATTCAACCTTCTTAACTGGGATTATTGTTAATTGTTTTTTTCGTTGTGGACACCCACAAGTAATATTCAGCCTTGATAGCAGTGATGTTCTCCTAGTGGCTTTAGCAAGCCACTTAATTTCTCTGGGCCTCACTTTCCACATCTGTAAGATGATAGGATTCAACCAGATTATTTTCCAGTGTCTCTTCCAGACTCCTGTGAGTTCTTGATTTTAACTCTCAGTGAGTCAGAGGCAGTCAGGCAGGTATAGAAAGAGTGTTTTTAGAGCATATTGTACTTCCTGTTATTTCATTGTAAATATGCTAGACAATTATGAAACGATCAATTTGAGTTCATTATTAATTCTGTTTATCCCAGAAGGTTTGTCCTCATTTTGTTCCATTTAAATTTGTGGCTCTATGTTGAGAGTTTATAGTTAACTCACTTAAATTTTTCTACAACTTTTATTTCTAGGCTTCATAGAGCCCAGTGTGCAATTAAACAGACTCAGGTAACTGTTCAGAAAATTGGAAAGGAAATTGAAGAAAAACTAAGACTCACGTCTACAAGCAATGAGCTGGTAGGTTTTTGTATATTTGCCTATTTAAACTCCTTGATTTCTAAATGTGATCGTCACGTTCTTCTTGTATTTTTTTCTTTCTATTTTTTTCTCTTAACGTTTCACTGAGACTTCTGTTGGCATTTAAATGTTGGAAATAAACTTTCCCGTCTGTTAATAATGTAACATACAAAGTGCCTGCCCTTTTCTGCTAGATGAAACTTTAGATTACATACAATTACTTAGAAGATAATTAAAAGCTATTTTATTAATGTCTTATACGTATGAACTCTGGACACAACTGTATAGTGAATGAAAAATAGCTGCCAGAAGAAGAAAGAATAAACATTAGGGACTAATCTACTCTTAAAAGGTGAATTTAGAATTATTTGGATTGAACTTAATAGGCTGGTTTATGGACAATATTCTCTTTTGGGAAAGATTCTTTTAATGAGGCATTTCCAAAGAAATAGAAATCCCAATCCAAATGGACAGATTTAAGATATTAGTATAATTTTGGGTGGCTTTATACTCTTTCTAGTGGAGAAAAAAAATATTAATTTTGGAATGAAGATTCTGTCTTTGTAAGCAGAATAGTGGGTATAACTAATAAATTGAGCTTTTCTCAAAACGAAGCCACATGGCTATGGATAGCTTTTGACAAAATTAGTGCTATGGATTATGATACTTAAAATAAAATTCAAATCCTCAAATTAAGTCCTAACTAAAAATTTTAAAGTATTTGTTTGCACGAACTTGTTATCATAGATAGGCAGTATCTTCAGTTGTCTTTTACAGCACTGTCAGCTTGGCGGAGGGCCTTTATATCCCCAAACAAAAGTTCCATGTTACCTTGAAGATTTGCCCAAGATAATAATTTAATAGATGAACTGTAGAAAAGCAGCAACACAGTTAACCTGCAGGCTTCGCTCATGGAATTTGAAATTAATGGGTGACAGCGTATTTAAACATATAAAATTGCTGATTTGACCTATAAATAGCAGTTTTATATAGTTCAACCTAATATATAAAATGACTAGTGCTGTACCTGGCACTTGCAGGCATACAAAATATGGTAGCTGCAGTAACTATAGTAGTAATACTATTCATATGACTTTTCTTGCCTATGGAAAATCTTCCATTTCGGAGAAGCTGTTAAATCACCTCTTGTTGTAACTTAGACCCAATAAAGGACAAAGTTCCTGACCACAAATGTATTGGAGGAAGAGAAAAACAGCTAATTTTAATCTTTTCTTGAGTATAAAAATGCCACATTTTTAGAACCTTTGGGGATAAATTGCTAGGTTTTTTCTTATTTTCCTCTCCCAAAGCAAGACTGGGAAATTACTTGTTTCATTAAATGACAGCATATGCTTTGTCTCAGTATGGAAAAATGTATGTTTAATCCTATTTTGCTAAAATATAAGCTGTGACCCGAGCAAGGTGATGGAATGTGAATGTGTAAGTTTAAAGGGGTCAGGTTCAGGGGTTCACTGTGTATTTTTATGCTGCCTAGTCAACATCGAAGAAAACCATTGGATTTTTGAACTGAAAGTGAACTTAGAAATCATCTAGTTCCCTTATAGCCCCACTTAAAACCATACACCCTCAGTACATTCTGCCTCCTTCCCTGCTTTATTTTTCTCCATAGTATTTATTACCCTTTAGTATGCTAAATACTTTACATATGTATTTTATTTGTCTGTCTCTCTAAAGTCTTTGAGGGAGGGGAGTTTTGTCTGGTTTTTTCTTTTCACTGCAGTATTCCCCAGTGTCTAGAAAAATGTTTGACACATAGTAGGTGCTCAGTAAATATTTGTGGAATTTAAAATGAATCTAGCATAATCGCCTCTTATAAAAGGACAGGAAAATGAGGCCTGAAGAAAGGAAGCAACTTTCCCATAATCGTTTGACAAATAGAGATAGAAATTGTGGTGAACGTGTCTCCTTTCAGGGAATAATGCCATGTGCTTGTTAGTTATCTACTTTAAGGTTTACCTGTAGCAAATTAGAAACCTTTACTATTATCTTTTTTTCTTCCTTCCCTGTCCAAATTGGACCAAGGTCATCATACTCAACCCAAGCATTTTCAATATGTAAGAATTAATTTTAGTTTTAGCCTAAGTGTAAATACAGTCAGAAGGCGTATTTGATGCTAAAAGAAATTAGATTACCTCCTAAGATCAAATGTAATTAACTCTGTTATAAGAAATTGGGTTCAATGTATTTCATTGATTTTTTTTTTTTTTTTATGTTAATCCAACTTTGCATTCCTGGGGAAAGCCCCTCTTATTCCTGATGAATTATTCTTCTTATGTATGTTACTAGATTCAGATTTTTAAAGGATTTTGGCATCTGTATTCATGAGGAATGTTGTCTGTAGTTTTGTTTTCTTGTAATCTTTGTCTGGTTTTGTTGTTGGGGTAATGCTGGCCACAGCTAGTAAGTTGGGAAGTATTTCTACTTCTATTTTCTGGAAGAACATGTGTAAAATTGGAATTATTTCTTAAGTGGTTGGTAGAATTTACCAGTGAAGCCCTCTGGGCCTGGAGTTTTCTTTGTGGGTTTTGAACTAGGAATTCAATGCTTTAATGGTTGTAGGGTTATTGCAGTTATCTGCTTCTTGAATGAGCTTTGGGTAGCTTATGTCTTTCAAAGGTTTGTCCATTTGTTTAAGAGGTCAGTCTTTTTAGTTTAAGCTATTCTAATGGATGTGTGGTATTTTATTTTGGTTTATATTTTCGTTTCTGTGATAAACATTTTTCATATCTTTATTGGACATTCATGTATCTTTTAAGAAGTGTTAACTGTTAAATATTTTTGCCCATCAAAAAAATAAACTTTTGAGGCCGGCCTGGTGGCATAGCAGTTGGGTTTGCGCGCTCCGCTTCAGTGGCCCAGGGTTCGCGGGTTCAGATCCCGGGTGCGGACTGGTGCACCACTTGTCGAGCCATGCTGTGGTGGCGTCCCATATAAAGTGGAGGAAGATGGGCACGGATGTTAGCCCAGGGCCAATCTTCCTCAGCAAAAACAGGAGGATGGCCATCTGATGTTAGCTCAGGGCTAATCTTCCTCACAAAAAATAAAAATAAAATAAAATAAAATAAACTTTAAACTTAGATTTCCAGAAAACTTGCAAAGATAGTTCAGAGAGTTTCCATATACCTTTCATCCAGTTTCCCCTAATGTTATTCCCCTAATGTTAACCTCTTTTATAACCATGTTACATTTGACACGGTACGTGACGTGGTATATCATCAAACCAAGAAATTAACATGTCAGATTCTTGATATATTACTGTTAACTGTGGACTTTATTCAGGTTTCACCAGTGTTTCCACTAAGGTTCGGTTTTTTTATGTCAACTTTTTATTTTACAACAGTTTTAGATTTATAAAGTTATTCCAAAGATAGTACGTACAGAGAGTTACCCAATATAACCCACACCCAGTTTCCCCTGTTATTAACATCTTACCTTAGTTATGGTATATTTATCACAGTTAATGAACCTGTATTGATGAATAATCATTAACTAAAGTCCATACTTTATTCAGATTTCCTAATTTTTACCTAATGTCCCTGTTCTGCCCCCCCATTTATATATTTATTCAATCATTTATTTATCAGTGTGGACTTGTGTATATTTATTTTATACTTTAGGTTATAATCCAATACTTTGTTATTTATTTTTGTGCTCAACTTGTGGCCTTGAACTTGTGGCATCGAGACTTCTTTCAAGTTGACTCCTGTGTCCTTTTGACATGCCCCATCTTTTTTTTGTTTGTTTGCACTTCCTTAATTTCTGGCACTATATGATCTAGGCTCATCTTGTATTTTCCCTGTCTCAGCCCTAATCAGCTATTTCTCCAAGGAGTCCTGTTCCTTTCATTAAATAATGGTATTTAGAAACAAGATCTGGGCACTGAGTGTGCTTGTTGCTACTGGGTTGTAACTACTTACAGGCCCTCTCAGTGGACAGAGCTGGTATACACAAGTATCTATCTCCTTATATATTAAAATAAACATGAGTTCATACTAATATATTCAACTCTAACACCACCGGGTTTGTTCTAGCCTTCCTCCTCACTTCGTTTATTTGTAGTAGCTTTTTCTGATAGTGGCTCCCATTATCTACAATTTATTTACTTATTTTTTCGGTCCTAGTAAACATGTAAAGTAGTTTCAAATTTTTTTTCCTCGACTTTAAGTGGGATTTTTATCTTCTTATGTTGGGGTTAAAGAGTGTGTGTGTGTGTATTTTTTTTTTCTGGATACAAGTCTTTTTTCTGATACGTGTGTTGGGAATATTTTCTTGCAGTCTGTGGCTTTTTGTCTTAGTGAGGAAGATTGTCCCTGCGTTAACATCTGTACCAGTCTTCCTCTATTTTTTGTATGTGGGCTATCGCCACAGCATGGCTTGATAAACAGTGTGCAGGTCTGCGCGCAGGATCTGAACCCGTGAACCCCCAGGCCACTGAAACAGAGTGCACAAACTTAACCACTACACCAGTGGGCTGGCCCTGCTTTATTTCAGTAGCTAGGACATACAGTACAATGTTGAATAAAAGTGATAAAAGTGGAAATCCTTTCCTTGTTCCTGATTGTAAGGGGAAAAAGTTCATTCTTTCTCCATTAAATATAATGTTAGCAGTACCCTTTATTGGTTTTAGAAATTTCCTTCTTATTCCTAGTTTCTGAGCGTTTTTATCATGAATGGATGTTGAATTTTGTCAAGTGCTTTTTCTGCGTCTATTGAAATGATCATGTGATTTTCTCTTTGATTCTGTTAATAGAGTGAACTACAGTGATTTAACTTTATTTATTATATGTTTTTTTGAGGAAGATTAGCCCTGAGCTAACATCTGATGCCAATCCTCCTGTTTTTTGCTGAGAAAGATTGGCTCTGGCCTAACATCCGTGCCCATCTCCCTCTATTTTATACATGGGACGCCGCCACAGCGTGGCTTGATGAGTGGTGTGTAGCTCCGCGCCCGGGATCCGAACCTGCGAACCCCGGGCTGC